GTCTTCCAAAATAGGTATCGCAGTTTCTTGTAAATGGGTAGCACAGTCTTGCAAATGGGTAGCACAGTCTTACAAATGGGTAGCACATACTTTCAAATGGGTAGCACAGTTCTACAAAATATGTCTCACCGTTTTTCAAATTGGTATCGCAGTTTTTCAAATGGGTAGTGCAGTCTTGTAAATGGAAAGCCTCAGTCTTTCAAATGGGTAGCACAGACTTTCAAATGGATAGCACACTTTTTCAAATGGGCATCGCAGTTTTAGCGCAGTTTTTCAAATGGTTAGTACATAGTTTTTCAAAGGTAGTACACAGTCTTGCAAAGGGGTAGCATAGACTTTCAAATGGATAGCACATTTTTTTTTCAAATGGGCATCGCAGTTTTAGCGCAGTTTTTTAAATGGAAAGCGCGCAGACTTTTAAATGGATAGCACAGTTTTTCAAAGGTAGGGCAGTCTTGCAAATGTGTAGCACAGAATTTCATATGGATAGCACAGGGATAATATGACAAACAGAGACAGAGCACATAGCCCCTAGGTAGCCGAACCCTTATTAAGGGGCACCATCTTGACCAAAAAAGTGTCCCCTTAATAGGGGTGTCACCTGCGTATGGCTATCACTATTTAGGTATCCCCTTAATAGGGAGTTTTCTTTAAAATCTCTCAGGCAAATGTCTTAGTTTTGGTGATATCATTGTGGTATATGATGGGTAAAGTAATGGGAAACTATACTTCAGAATAATATGGTATTGATTAAAATATAGGCCTAAAACTAATAAACCATTACTTAAATAAAATAATCTTTTTCGCTGTAAAAAATTTGCACTTTTTTGATGAAACATTTCATCTTATATTTTGTTTAAATTCATCACCAAATTCATCATCAACGTTACTATTTTTAAGAGGCTATCATGTCTAAGGTCAACTGGACTCCTGAAATGATGAACTGATTAATAGAAAACCTTGTGTAAAACGTTTTAAAAAAACCGTTTATTTCGTGCTCTCCGGCACCTACTTAATAGGGACAGCATTTTTACATATATAGGTATTTAATTAAAAGTTTGATGACTTTTCTTTTGTGATTTTTCCCCGGAGGTGCTACAACTGTCTAAAATTGCTGTTTGAATAACAGTGTGATATCACCATAAGACCGATTCGTTACGTTACGTAATGTTCGATTGTGTTATTTTCATATAGAGTGTTGGATGAGTACTTTCGTAAAATAAATGTGAGTGGTCTCGATTACATCAAGGAGGTATAAAAATAATAATACCTCCTTGATTACATACATTGCTATAAATTTCAGGAACATAAAGAATGAAAGTTTTTGTACCCACCCCTCACAATTTTCTGCATTGAAGGGCAAATACTTTTTTTAAGTGTAACATTACACAATCGAAGATTACGTAACGTAACGAATGGGTCTTATGGTGATATCACACTATAATGTAGAATTAAATTTATAATCGATTTTTGATTGTTACCATCTCCATAACTTACGCACTTTTTTTAAATAGACAAAAATGTTGAAAAAATTTATTATGCAAATTAGAAAAAAATAGATTTGTCGATTTTGGGGATTGTTCCCCCTCACTAATAGAGGTTGAACCAATCATCTGACACACTCCACATAATATTAAGGGTGTCCCCGCAACAAGGTTTGGCCGTAGTGTTAAAGGATATATTTCCCCTCATTTTGCAGAAAAGTGTTCCCTTAATATTAATAACTGAATTTCGTTTTCAAGTTGTCACCCAAGAAAGCCTGAAATGGACTTATTTTTTTTCATGCAACGTTACGTGTACTAGGACATTTGTGATTTTAATTTAATTTACATGAAAACTTTTCAATTTCAACATTTTTTTTCAACTATTTTCTCTATGGTTTATCGAGGGCGGGTCGAGCTCAATTTTTGATATACCCAATGACTGGGTCGAAATTACCCAAGATTCAGCAAAAATTGCCCAAAATTACCCAAGCTTCCTGAAAATGCATTAAAATTTGAAAAAACGTGTTTTTCGCATGTATAGTTTCCCTTTTAGTTCAACTTATAAACCATTTTTTATTGTAATTGTTTGTGTTAATTATTAAAATTAATATTCATAAGGTGATAATACGAATAGAAAAATACGCCCTCAGTCGGCCAGTGTTATCAGTAGATCAGTGATCAAGTTTTATTATGTAATGTATTAATTAGGTAAAATCAATGGCAACGCAAATCACAAATTCAACAATTCTGAACCCATGTTTATAGCAATTAACAGTCAATTAACAATGTTATGTCCACTTTGTTGAGTTTCGCTTACTTGAATGGACTGAAATATACTTTGTTACTTCTTAATTCTTCCTCTATTACAAAAATATTTAATTTTCTTAGTAAAAATAAAATACCGAAGGATTTGAACGGAATACCCAAGAACCCAAGACCAAGTCAAAATACCCAAGATCTTGGGTAAAAACCCAAGCAGTGGTCACACTGGCTGGAAATATGATAGTTAATATTCAAATCAAGTTCCTGCTCTTAGCACTAGTAGGAACACAAATAATGTATAAACCAAATAGATAATAATACATAGGAACATGATGTTACAAATTGTATAAAACATAGTTAATCAAGTTCCTTATTATAGTTGAAGGTCTCTGGTGGGAATCGAACTCGCAATCTCTAGATATCTCGGCGAGCGTCATACCATTTAGACCACAGAGGCCCGTACGATATCATTACGGATCTAAGATCAATTGTCTCTTTCCCTTCAACTTGAGATAGAAATGCATAAAAAAAAATAAAAAAAACTTGAGATAGTGGAGTAAATCTTTATAATACGTAATAACAGGGAAGAATGAAATTGTAATAGCGTATAGGTAGATGCTGGTAGATTATCGTTGGAAATAATTAGTGCAGGGGCTTATGTATTTTTGTTTGCAATTCATGTTAATTTATGGCAACAATGTTTTTCCGACTCAGAATTTTATACTGAACAAGAAAAAATTTGGTGCCAATTTTTTCGAGAAGATTATCTGGCCGCCATCTTTGAAAACAAGATTGCGGACGCATCTGGTCAAACATAGTATTATGTGGTATCATTGGAAAGGAAATCATGCACTGAATATTTTTTCTCATTACACTAATACAAAGATATGCACAGAAACGGAGATATTCGCCATTAAACAAGTCATAAAAATATTCAGTGCATTATTTCCTTTCCAATGATATGTTTGAATAGATGTGTCCGCCTATTTTACTACTTAAGTCCCTGTACTAAATATTCAAAAAGTTGCTGCTAAAAAACATAATGTATAAATCGAACCCGCAATCCTAGTAATGAACATTTGAAATATAGGCGCGATATTATGCCCTCTAACGAATCAATTAGGAGCTGTTGAGGAAACAATCATCTAAAGTAACAAACTGAAGCTTTGCCTTCGCTCGGTGTTCGCGACGAGTGATCAGTGATGAATAGATCATTTTTCTGTCTGTTTACGACTTAGAAAGTCCGTTTTTTAAAACGAAGTATATTTTTTTTCAAAATAATGAACTTTTCAAAATAATGAAAATTTTCGTGCGGTAGCTTTTTAGGCATGCGGGCGGTGGACGCAAACCTACAACTTTCATTCCCGTGACCTAAACACCACACAGAACCACAGATGTACGTACAAGCATACCAAATGTGTAGCCTGTAGGCAGCCAAGGCTAGGCCTGGGTAGGTAGGCCTAGCTACCTAGCCTAGGGCATTATTTTCCCCCATACAGTTAAGGCAGAAATGATAGAGGGCACTATTTAAGGTCATAGTGAACTGACAACATAGTTATGCATGTTTGACCCCTCGCAAGTCGCAAAAGCAGTGCTCGCTCGCTGCTTGTGGAGTACAAAGGCTACGGCGTATAGTAGTTAGTTGTAGGGTGGCCAAAATCTCTCGGTCCGTCGAGGCAGTGTAGTTGACACATTGAAAATAAATGGACTATTAGTATTGCAGTTATAATATCCCTATGCCTAGACATTGTTTCTGTACAGAAGGGTTTTTGAAATTATAAAAAGCAGTTGAATCTGGTCAGTTATTTAAGTAGTGTAAAGTATAGCACATACCAACTTACTAACTGCTAGGACTAGTAGTACTGTACATATCCTGAAGAATATAAACGTTTAGAAATGCTGGGACACAGGTAATAAGACGATTATGTATTGTTTTATTCAGGGAAGTATAAAAATATAATGTTGATTTCTCAAAAACATATCATTTCATTCATTCAATATGAATAAAAGTAATAGGCATAGATTTATATAGCAAGCAGATATAGACATTAATCTGACGACACATAATATGACGTAGGGGCCTACTGTTTATTAAAGGCTGTCTACCCAATTAAAACATTGAGTAGCTTATTTAAAATGATCAAAATCAGATGGAAGTAAAAAAGCTTTTACTGATTTACAGACAGTTTTACAAAATGAATCATGTAAAAGAATACAGCAAACTCACTGTCTGTAAAGCCAGACACTCACTGTGCAAGACGGTCAAAAACAAAACAAAACAAAACAAAACAAAACAAAAGCAACACTCCAACTGGAGTATGGTATAGGGATGTGCTGTTGTCACTAACCAGGGCAGGGTTTGTTAGTCTAAAATGCTCAACTCCTTTGAAAAGGTGTTTGATCATTTGGCAACCAATCATTTCAGCCCCAAAATTGTTTTGCACTTTTTCCAATTTACCCAGCCCCTTTCTGGATTGGATACTAATTAGATCTAAATTTGACTGCTTTACAACTATTTTAAAATCATTTTAATTATTCTAATTGAACAGTGAGTGACTTGCTACTTACAGGGTGTAATATTAAAAAAGAAACCCAGTGAGGCTTCGGAAGTGAAGCTGTTCTTACAGTAGTCTTGAGATTCCTTGTTTTTTGCAGGATTTTACATAAGGTACCATGTACCACCAAGATACAACTTAACTTTAAAGTCACTGTTTAATCATTCTTTTTTTTTTTTCCACAGGATGAATGGAAGGCCACCATAGCCTTTGCTGTGGGCAACCAACTGATAGATTATGATCACCTAGCCCAGCTAGTCAACACAGTTGATGCTGGTTCTCGCAAACTCTTTAGTGTGGTCTCCAAGAATCTTCTGATAGAAGAAGTAAGTCAAAGAAATTGACCATCACAATATATTATATATTTTTTTTAAATATTTATTATTTTTATCTCATCTAAATGCATAAATGCCCATAACAGGGTGAATGACAAGATTAAGCAAGACAGACAATCAAACACAAGATGCTCTAAAAACTATCTCTTTAGGGAGCTTTTGCTTGCACGACGACGGTAGGGCGTAGAACGTAATGGTGTCAGTAAAAGTCATCTGCGTATGCGAGAATGTTAAGGTCACCTCGTCGAGTAGATTCTGGGACACAATTTGGCCATATCTACGTATGCAGACAACGTAGGACGCCAAGTAGGACGGTCACGCATGAGTGATTCCGTTCTAGCATCGCGTCGTCGCACAAATCAAAAGCTCCCTATTATGATGCTTTGGTATTGGAATGGACCTATCCGGAGTGTCAATCAAATTTAGCAACTGACCAATCAGAAAATTACCAGGAATGCACGCATGTCCTACAAACACACTATGTTGTTCCACAAAAGTTTTTGCACTGTCGTTTTGTGGGACCTTTAACGACAGTGTTCAAGGGGTGGGCTTTAGTGGAAAGGTCAATTGTGGTCACAAAATCTTGAATGGAATTGAACCCTGTCGTAACCCAGATATGCTGCACTTGTAATCATAGTATGCTTTGCAACTGACATTATAATCAAATCTGAGATTACAATCTTAATTTTAGGTTAAGGAGTTTGGAAACTCAAAAGCCAAGAAGACAAAAGACACACCAATGTATAGTGAAATATGTGAGGCAGCAAAACCCCACCTGGATCTTGGTGAGGACATTCCTCTGCAGCTGCTTAGCAAGATTCTTAAATGGAAGCTGTTGGCCATCAAGCAGAAAGACCAGAAAAGACGAGAAGATGAAAAAAAAGTGAGAATGCTTTTGTTTTGTAAGAAACATGATACCAGCATACTATATAAAATTAATGTCCTGCGAGAAGATAGAAAACTAAAATGGAAATGAAAATGATGACATTTCATCTGACTTAGGTGCGATCAACAAGTTATCCCCAAATCTGTCAAACATGTTTTTTATTGTTATTTAACAAGCTCTCAATAACACGTCTCTGAAATGCCATTTGGAAGCATGACGTTTGAACCTTTTATTTCATTTGGAAATGACTTTTCCCCATTTCATATGGCTAACTGCTCATGAGTGGTAGATGTTAATGCCTTTAGCAGAATGTGGAAATCTGATCATGATTCAATTCAAACCTGCTGAGCCTACCTAGCCTAGGCTACAGTGTGTATAGTCTTATACTAAGTTCAGTGCTAGGCCTAGGCTTGGATGGATCACTAAGATATATTTACAATTAAGGACCTATAATTTATTCATTTTAAAAACATAGTTTTAATTTTCTTATCCTAGTACTAGTAGGCCCTTACCGTACCTGAACTAATTTTCTAGAAGAGAAAGCATCTCCAATTACATTCGTACCAGATTCCATTGTGCAAGTACCCTGTCCCATATGGCTGGCACTATCGCCCGCACAAATGTCAGCATGTAAACACAGACCTGACCATTTGGATGTGATTCTAAATTAATGGTTTAACTGATTAATATTCATAAGGTGTGATAATTAGATGATCGCATTCCTAGATGCATTTGTAATGCAGTATGTTGTTTTTCTAAACCCGTTTCTGTCCTAGGGGATAATTTGTATGTGAATCTATTTTAATAATAGGGCAATAGTGACAAGGACAAGAAAGGTGGAAAGGAAAAGGGAGCAAGAAGTAAATCTCCAGTGAAAGGGAAAGGAAAGAAATCTCCTGAAGTCCCCTCACCAAAGAAAGAAAGCAAACTAAAGAAGAGAGGAGAAGATGACGATGAAAACAAATATATTGGTAAGGTTATATAGTCTGTTATATATTGATTTTAGTTTTAACAAAACAGATTAATAAAGATTTTAGCAACATTAATTAAATAAAATTAAACCAACAGTATTAAGAACAGTGAACTGAAATATTGTTAAACCGGGCACACATATGTTTTTACTCTAATCATGCAGTTGTTCCCATAGGGGTTCTGCTGTACTCTATTTGACCAGTGTTTTTTCCTATGCAAAATCAATTTAAAAAAAATTTATTTGTTTACAGATGATGAGCCTGATGATGGTCCTCAACATTACATTATTATAGAGGGTTTCACTGATGCCCCCCTCTTACCCCTCCTTAGTGATCTACAGGTCAACGTGGATAGTATCATTAAAATGAATTCTGAAAACTACGAAAACTATGAAAAAATGAAGAAACAATTACAAGATGAGGAAGATGATGATCCTAAGCTACCGGAAAGTAAGTTCGATAATCATAAATATGGTATAAATAGCTAAGTTCTTTTGGTAATTTGAAACCTTAAAGCATGGATTTTAGCCCTGTGTTTATCATTTTACCAATATGCTTGGGGTGAAGTGGTGGTTGACAATGAACTCCAGAATTTTGCTGAGGCCTATAGTATAAAAAATCTTAAATGACCAACACTGATTTGGGCAAGAGAACAATCTGGGTTGTTTTGGCTTTTTCCGATTTGTTTGTCGCTCAACTGCTTCCACATATAATAATACATAATTCATATAATGTGGATATTCTCTTAAATTTAATTTTGAATATATTTGATGCTAGTACTTGAAGCGGAAGAGATTGAAAGAGAGAAAAAATCAGTGGCGTTGAAGAAGTTCTGGGATCAGCATGAAAAGATGTTGAGGAGAAGTCCAAAAGAATCAAAGCTGCACGATGTTGCCCGGCTCACATACACTGTCCAGGAGAAGATTATACCCACTGATCTCAATGACAATGAACAGAAGGTATCAGAACAATTCTCTGTTTACACATTTTGAAAGTTTTTAGCAACAATGGGTGGGGGTCCTTAGCTGGAGAAATAGTCTGTAAATGTATATTATGTGTTCATATACATTTTGAACCTTGATGAATTCCACAATATCAACAGTGGAAGATAAGAAATTAAGCACCATTTTTTATGGGGCTGGACACATCATATTCAATTTGTGACTTTACATTTCTATTTCTTTTAACAGATGGGGTTTGGCACTGTATTGTTTGAGGACATAGCTTGCATGATGTACGACCTCCTTGATTTGAAACGGCAGTATCTCAACTACCGTGCGAACATGAAGCTGTTGACGATTCCATGTCCTAACGCTCCAGCAGCACCGTCAGGTTTGCTCTTAGTTAAAATATGTATTCATTTCATTTATTCAATATCCAGGTAAAAGCAATATAACACAAAGCATACAAACAAAATGTTCATTACCCGAGGATTGCCTAAAGTGCAAGCATTATCAAGTGACTCACCCACACTAAACATCTTTACAAAAAAATATACATAAAACGCTGGAAAGCTGAAATGACTACCACAACAAATTAAAAATTAATTTTTAAGAGATGTCAACTTTTTCATTCCAAAGTCATTTAAAATAATGTTTTAAAATGTTATTTATTTTTATTTATTAATTTATTAATTGTTTAAGTTACACTGTATATATATTTCTCATCACACTACCACTTTGAAAAGCAGCATTATAATACTGAAAGTGCCTTCAGTATAAGGAAAGATTAAATAAATAAATATAGAAATTTCAAACAAATCAGCATTAAACTATTGACATTAACAATGTAAGTGTTGATAATAAATATTATGTTTCAAACATTAAATTAAATTTTTGAATTGTTTACTTTATAATGTTCAATTCATCTGGGATGGATTAGATTACACATCAATATGGAATATTAGTTCATACAATAGTGTTGCACCAGCCATATCCTTCATATACTCTTTGAAAGAAGTTGTAACATACATAACAAAGAAAAGTTCAAGACGGCTATAATTGATCACCTGGTCAATCCATACTCAAGTGTAGAAGCTACCTGTACCAATACCCCTCCTTTGCTTTGCTCCTTTTATGGGCGTAGAAGAGTACCGATCTAGATCCAGATATGACCATCTGTTCACACGATCACATTTTTATGTGACAAATAACTGATATACCTATAATATGTGTATAATATGACATCATTATGCCGATATTTTGGCACATCATACACATTTGTCACATAAACTTTGATACATGGGGACACACAGCTTTATAAACCTTTCACTTAGAGTGATAGAATTTTTCTTATTAATTGACAGTTCCAGATATGCAGTCATCTGTGTCTCTTCCCCCAACTAGCCTCCAACAGATGCAAGGGGAGCCACTACTAGAGCAGAAGGAAAAACTATCGGAGGTTGACATGCGTTACTATAATGAGATGATGAACTCTTTACCTCATGAGAGTGTCAGCGTACCATTGATGCTTCACTGTATGCTTGAACAGGTAAAGATTTTTTTTAAAGTTGAAAGAAATTATTCTATGAAAGTGTAGAGATTTATAGTCAGTTTGCACTAATTTTTCATATTTTTAGATTGATTTTTATATGATAATCTCTTAAAGCCAGGCTCCATATTAATGTTTTTGTTGTTGATATGTTGTACAACTGATTTTTCTAAGACAAAAATGGTGTTTGACGGGCGAAAAAAAAGCAAACTATTGAGGTATAACATTTAAATTAAAATGTATTAACTATAATTCACAATAAAGATGACTAAAAACTTGTACATTACCTACATATTCAGCATCGTATCTAGGTGGAGAGATGGTGTTTCAATCCCCAGTGAAATTATAGGCTCCGAAGGTGCCCCTGTTTAACAACTGTAAATGTGCTGAGCAATATAATTGTGTGACAGAGCTCAGGGCTAAAATATCACCTTATTACACCTGAGCTTGTTCCCCCACACTTTCCTAACCACATCCCACATCGAATCCTAAATATATACCAACCTTGTATTCTCTATACTTTTTATTTCTTAATTTCTAGGTTGTAGCCTCTGAAGAAGGTAAAGTCCCACCAAGTGAAACTGCTTTGCAGCCGAGGGATGATGGCTTAAACCATAGCTTGGCTAGGCATGTCAACGAGGTGGCACTCAAGCTAACAATTCACAATGATACTAGGAAGGTACCAACAGATATACTGATTATGTTTTATAACAAGGAATAAATGTAACTTCAAATAAAGAGGAAGATGTCATGGTTCTCGATGTTTCAACCTGGGTCTCATTAAGGTCAAAGTGTCAGGAGTCTCTGCCTTTTATATTTAGAGTTACGAAGACTGAAATTTGTTCTGATTTATGTTTGTATTGCCTGGGTTCATTTATTGAACATTTTTGTGATTCATATTTGTTATTTGCTGATTTTTTAATTTTTAATTTTTGTTTTATTTTACATTCTATTATTTATTTTTCAGTGCTTAATTTTTTCGATGCTTGGGTGTACTATACATGAAAGGAAGAGTGTTTTCCCTTGTCACGAATTCCTTCACCTTACTGTCTCATCCTTGCATTTGTTAATCGTTGCATTCTATTTCCTTCATTTTCTTATGTACTTTTTTGTTTATGTTTTGCAGCATATTGAGGAGGAAATGAAAATACAGAAGAAAGAGACAGGGAATGGTGTAAAGCAACCGTATCTGATAAATTTCCACGACAAAATGGCGTACCGTCTTCACCATTTGAAAGAAATCAATGGATTTAATCCCATTGAATCAGAAAAAAATATGCTCAACAGCACATCATGCGCTAGGTTAGGCAAATTCCCACGACCAGCAGCAGGGATCGTAAAAGAACGTGCCGCACGCTTGCAGGAGTTGATGTACTTCTGTGCCAGTGGGGAGCTTACCGCAATTGAAATTGATCGAGCCTTCAAACAGTTTGTATTCGAAAGTCTCCAGTTACGTGACACTGAGGAAGACGGTAAAGTACGAGATGCGACGAAAGAGGATATTGTCTGGGATGACCCTTATGCACTCTATCAGCAACCTCAAGAGAATTCTCTGGTTGAAGGTATTCTAAGATATCTGATGTGAATCTTGTTATCTTTTATTTATTATCTACTTCTCTTATTTATGTATCTTACTATGTATTATGTTCTTTGATCTTGTTTTTCTGCTAATGTTCTTTTCTGTCTTGGCGATTCCTTGTGTTCAACACTTTTGGTTATCCTTAGAGGGCTTTTTGTTGTATTTTTCTTTATCCTGAAATATTGTATAAATAAAATGAATAAATTAATGTTAGTATAGACAAGTTTAAATTCAGAGAAAATAATAAAAACATTAGCAACTTGTATACAAATTTTATTCTCCCACCGACATTAATCAAACCCAAATCTTACAGAACAAGTGACAACTGAGCAAGCACCTAGGTCTAGGCCTGGAACTGGTATCCTGAGACCTGATCAACCACTGCGATCAAAATCCCGTCAAGGGTCAGCTGGAAGTGTCAAGTCCATCAGAAGCACAGGTAGGCTATCAAGTTGTTCAAATAGTCCTTGAATTATCAAATTACCAATTTTATTTAAGTTTTTGTTTTGGCTTGTATGCTCACCCTTTAATAACTACTAATTTCCACTAACATAGGTGGCACCCCCCCCCCCCCCCCCCCTTCTCCAAATGTTACTGTACTAAATATTTTTTTTTTTTTTTTTTTTTGATTGAGTGTTAGATTATTGACATCATCACGTCATTAATTAAACAAGTAGTTATTTTTTATTTTACGAATTATACTTGAATTTGTTTAATGTTTTCTGTATGTATGTTTATGTTTTTGCCAAGAACATGAATTTTATGTTATGATTATGTATAATCTGTATTGTGGACTCATAAATCAAAGGAATGTTGTAAATGCAGATGATTACTTGATTTTCTTCACAGCAATGTCTTTCCAAAGTCCTCAACTACGGGGTAAGAAATGTCACCTAGTGTGGACATGTGTCAATCAATCATATTAGATCAATTTGCTGTTCACCCTTTCAGATGAGTGACCATCAAGTCTCCCCATTCAGATCCTTTCACTTGTTGAATTGTTCATATCTGAGACTTGTCAAATAAACCTATTTAACTTTCTATCATATTGATATTTCATATTGACCCTCTATCTTATTGATATTTCATATTTGACCCTCTATCTTATTGATATGTCATATTTGACCTGCTATTTTATTGATATTTCATATTTGTCCCTATATTTTGTCAATATTTTATTTGACTCCTAAGTTTGTGGTTCAGATCATTGCTTCTCTTGTAATGTTTTTTCAGTGCTTTTTTTTTTATCATTCATTGAAGCAGAAATTATTTTTTTATTTGCTACTTCTACTCTTACTTTCTTATCAGACTGAAAAATATTTTTAAGTTCTACTTAAATTTTTCTGCACTTTATGGTGAATTAAAGGTTGCACATAAAGACAACAATTTTAAACTTTTTCCCAAGGATATATAATTTGTAGAACCCTTCCTTAAGAAAGAAATACTTGGCCTATGATGAGATCTGACAGAGCATTGTGGAAAGTCATGATCGCCAACATCCTATAAATTGGTACATGATGATGATAATATAAACAATAGTGATAAATTCATAAATTAGACTTGTGACTCATGTTCATAGAATTTAAATTACAGTATTGATCAAATAATTTGCACCTGTTACAATAACAATTAATAAGGTAGACTTACATAATAATGTCAATGGTATCATTATCAAGGGTAGAAAATATAATGTAATAACACAGTTTCATTAAATTAAAGAGATCAATTATACATTTTTAAAACCACTGTGTATTAATTGAAAAGCCTTAGTTAACCAGAACATTGTTTTTTAAAAGGTTTAAATATAGATTGATTTTTAATCATTCACATTTGAATAATTTTTTTTTTTTAGTTTCATATTTTTCATTACATACATCATTTTATCCTTTGCTCCATTCTGTCTACCAATTTATAGGTGATATTCCAGGTAGAGTAACCTTCAGTTTGTAGCAATGCATTCTTCCTTTTTTTGTATGAACATGCTTCTAGCTTTTTTTCTTTGTTAGCTCCGATGAGGTTTAGTTGCTTGCAATCTGCAATAGCCTTTCCCTTTACTCCACATAACATGCATGCTTTATTTTTTGCCACAGCACTTGAATTTTATTACTTCCGTCTTGCTTTCTTGCTTATACTCCAGTGGCGGATTCAAGGGGGGGGGGGGCGCCAGTCAGCCCTAGCAACCCCTCCCCTCCCCCCCCCTGAATTTTTGAAATAAAGAAAATAATGGAAATAGATATAAATATAGAAATATTAAAATATTAGTCGGAGAATGCCATTTCCAGCCATCTAGAGGTGCCATATTAATTATGACATTTCTTGTCAGCCCCAACCATGGTGGGGCTGAGGTGCCAGGACCATCTATCTATGAATGGAGCCCACTATAGCGAATTCCTGCATCCGCCACTGTACTCCATACTTTTCTCATAGTATTTACCAAGCCTTAAAACTTAGAAATGGTTTGGAAACCTACTGCATTCAGAAATTACAAAAGGTATAATTAATATAATATTGGTCAATATAGGCCCAGCAGCATATTCTTTATGATTTGAGCAGGAATTTAAAAAGGAATTTATGGAATCCTATCAAAAACAAAATAGTAGGTGTGTTTTGAGTCTTGGATTGAAGTACAGAATTGAAAGAGCAATCCTAGTTGGCTGCTGGAATACTGTTACAGAGTCGAGGAGTATCAGCTCAGTTGTACAATTCAGAACAAATTAATTTCATATGAATCATTTCATATTCAAATACACGCTCTTTTTTTAGACTAAATGTTTATTTTCCCTCTAGTTTGTAGTATCATATTAGCATAGTCTGTAATTCTGTGTTTGTCTGCTTTATCAGTTTGGTTTTTTGTAGTTTTGTGATATTAAAATTATTGCTGTAGATGGGTGGAAAAATTATGTTTGATAATAACTTCAAAAGGTAAATGAAAAAGAAGGTACTTTGTAATTTGTATAATTTACACACTACAGATATTAATACCGCAAAAATATAAGTTTATATAGACACTTATTGCATTAAGTGGAAGCAGTTTGGTGCAGCAGGAATGGTTTGGTTTCCCAACAACGAAGTCGGGGTTTCAAAACCTTGCTGTGCATTTCGCTTGTGTCCTTGACAAGGCACTTGATCTGCTTTTGCTCCTCTCCACCCAGGAGTATAAATGGGTACCTGAGGAGGTTCAGGTGCAAATGCACTGTTATATTTCATGCGGCAAACTATGGAATTTCCACCATAGGCATCGTTCCAATGACTGGGGTAATAATGTGGAAATGTGCTCGGAGACTTAGAGTATGTGTAGAGCGCCATATAAAAACGTACATATTATTATTATTGTTATTAATTTTATTATTATTATTATTACCATTATTATTATCATTAAATTATTATTATTATTAATATTATTATTATTATTATTATTACCTACCTTAAGGGGAACTTAGACAATTGAGAAATTAGAGAACAATTAAAAAAAACATTAAGGGGAAAATAACATGACGTTTAAAGGGGAAAATAACACAAAAGATATTCCCCAAAAGTCAGAGTTAGCGCATATTATTATTATTATTATTATTATTATTATTATTATTATTATTATTTTTATTATTATTGTTATTGTTATTATTATCATTTAATATGACCTTTGGTTATAGTTCTGATAATCATTATTATACATATATTAATATCTGAAATCTCTGCCACATACAGTTCATTTTGAAAAGGATGCCGATGGCCAACCGATCATCCCAGAGAAAGAGATTCTGAAAACGCCAGAGGTAACACTGTCTACCCGTACATCTTCAACTAATTTGAATCTGGAGGATGAAATAGTACAAGCTGTGGATGTTGGAATTGGTGTCAGAGATCTTGCAGAGTGCCAGCTGCGGAACCTGGATGAGTGGTCCTACGCTGAATATCTGGAGCCGCATGTCCTTCTTCAGGTAGGCTAAAACTCATGGTCTTCTGGTAGCTACCTAACTTGTGTCCTACATGTACTACTTGTAGGTTTAACCAAAGAGTACAGTATAAACAGAACAAGAGAGCCAAATACGCTCTGTAAAAATGTCACTCCCTTAGTTACGAAGGAAGTCGCTATCGTTGTTATGTAGTGCGCCCAATAGGTATGAGTTCACATAAGGTGCGTCCGCTTCGATGGTATGATGATAAAGAAAATAAGGAAATCTACCACCTTCTACGAATGTATTTTATCATGTGGAAAACAGAAATATAAATAAACAAGCCATGTGCGGTGCATTCCTGGGTAATCCATTGCTAGTGGGCGTCCTACACTGGCTGCGTTTGGCGTATCGTTTTTTTACGCTCTCAATCGCGTAGTTGGCTCTCTTGTTCTATTTATACTCTTTGGTTTAACTCGTCCTTCTTGTAGGTCAACTCATCCTTCTTCTGGTATAACTAGGCCCTTTTTTTTCTAGTTTATTCTTGTCAGTTATTACATGAACAATATTAAAAAAAACCTTGCATTATAAAAAAGTTCCATTCATCCGTACAATTGAATGGAATCGAAAAACACTGCTATTATGTATAATATTGTTTAAAAATAAGTGTGTCGACATGATTTACCGTATTTAATTTACTGACTACATTTTAACAGGTGTAAATCACTTGTGAAAGAATTGGCAAATTATTTAGATGATGAGAATCACACCTATAACCTCAGTCCTGTTGCTTGTGGTGACAAAACTCATATCATACTTTTTTCACCACATGTGTTTAATTTTCTTTCACAACAGGTGTTACAAGAAGCTAATCAAGTTCATCCTTATATTGATACTTACTTTCATAAGAGAGACCATTCCCTGATGGTTGTGATGCATAATCCCATTGGACAAGAGCTGATGAACTATGACACCTGGAACACACAACTTCACTCTGACGTAGGATTCAGGTACACTTTGATCTACAACCCTGGTTGTCAAACTATGGGTTGTGATGCAATTTTGAAACACTAACATTTTTCTGACAATTGCATGATATTACAGGTCAATGTTTGGCAAAATATTGACTTACAACTTTTTGAACCCAATTTCAAATATGAAACCCTTAAGCTATATCACAATTGCCAGCTATGCAGTGTAGTCTTTAATTGATTGCTTTGAAAAATAAAATTTGAAAATGGGTCACCAATATAAGTGTTTGAGAAACAGAAATCTATAATCTGTTTTTGTTGTAGTTCACCTGGAAAGTTGACTACTCCTTCAGAATCATTATTTTTTCCATATTTGGAAATAAATATACTGTACTTAATGTCGACAAGACTAATAGTGATTGATTGAATAATTGATTGATTGATTTTAATGGTATTTTTCAGAAACTACCTAGAACACATTGCAAGCTCAATTGAGGATTGGACCCAAGCGGAAGAGAAGAAACATCAAGCTATAATGCATGAGAAAGAGATGGAGGCCATGAGAAAGGCAGCAGAATCACCAGCTTTGACCAGCTCTCGTGCCGCATCATCAAAGAGCAGAACACGCTCTCAGTCACCGAAGAAAAGCAGATCAAAGTCTCCACGGGGTAATGTTTAATAGATATTTGTGATTATGATTATCAATTGTGTATAATAATAAAATGATGTTAAAATGGCGTCTGTATCCATCAAAGTCATGGCACATTGATGCTGAGGTCTGAATTTGGAATTTTATTTTTTTCCATCCTTTACAGTACATAGGAAATATAGAAATAAATTAAATATAAAAATATACTAAATATAAATTTAGTATATTTTCATATTTCATTTATTCATATAATTTTTACTAACCAACCGTGATATATATAAATTTGAAAATATAATATATATAAATTCTGGAAATTATAAAAAGTCCTATTTTAAATAAAAAGGAAAACAACATAATCATTATCAAATTTATTACATATCTTCATAATATTTTCTTTTCTATGCTAGTGATAGCTAGTGTTTAGAATTTGTTTATCTTTGTACCACAGGGAGAAAAAGTGTTAGCCCTACCCAGTCTGTCGACCATTTAGACCCAGATGGAGGCAACTTTATGCGACCAAATTCCATGAAGGCTTGGAAAATTGAGAATGACAAACTGAAAGAAGAAGAGAGGAAACAGAAGGAGAAGGGTGCGAAGAAAAGTCGATCACGCTCCAGGTCAGCCTCCCCAAAGAAAACTGAAGACAAGGAGAAAGTGAAGGATAAGAAAAGGGAAGGTTCCAGCAGAGGGAAGGGAAAGAAAGATGAGAAGGAGAATGTTGGTGAAGAACCACCTGCTGAAACACCAGAAGGAATGACAGAAGGAATAACAGAGACAATATATCCGGTAAGCTTTAGGAAGAATGGTATGGTATACTCATTGTTTTTTTTGTTGTTAGGCATATAAAGGGGCCTATGTCATTATTGCAACTACTCTGGAGGGGTTTATATGAGATATTACCACTAAATCAGAGCCCTATATATAATGGATTATGAGGAGGGAGAATGCACAGATTGAATCCATCAATTTTTCACTTATTTACAAACTTTTTCTATGAACTTTATAAATTACAATTCAGCATTGGTGCTAAGATGTATTTTAATTTCAATTTGAATTGAATAGACTGTTCATCTGATTATAAACGAATTAAAGATTCTGTAAAAGCAATATTGGAACTGTATATCTAAGTTAAGTAAACACTATTTATGTAAAATATGTATAGTTAATTATTTTAATTTATTTTAAAATTTACCTTACAGTATACTCAATTGTGTATGTTGATTAATTCAGACTGAAAAATAATTAATATTTATTTGTTTTATATCATTGTTTCATTTCAGTTTATTGGTTATGATGTTGGGAATAATTTAATTCATGTGAGTGGTCAAACAAAAACACTGTTCCCAAGTGATGGTGGCCAAATTCGTGCGGAGACTACAAACTTCATACAAGGTATTTGTTTTAACCAGATCTCTGTTTACTCTCTTAGTATAATATTATTTGTAGAATTTTTTTTTTTTTTTGGATGACCCAAGTAATAGAAAATGTTTACAATTATTAACAGTTATCCAAATGAATTTTTTTACTAATGATAAAATATTATATTATAGCAATCGTGACATCATCACTGCAACTCTTAATGTTATTTGCCCATCCCCCACAGTCCAATAGTTTTTCAATTAGTGGATGCTTGGCTTAAATTTTTTTAGGTTTGTGTGCAAAAAAAAATTCCTCATTTTTTCGTGACCGCGAAGACATCGCGCACCGTGATGAAAATTGAATTGTAATTGAAAATTACTTTCGTAAAACAAGCTTAATTAGAACCCGAAGAAAATTACTTCAAATTCAATATTAAGTATGAACAATTAAGGAATTCATTGAATCAATGGACCCTCATAAACACAACAAACTGAACGTTTAATAGGAATATTCTTGACCTATTTTAAAGACTCAAGGAACAAATTTAGATGCAGACCTACAGCCAGGCCTCCTCCTACTAGGCTGTGGCCTAACCTAGTTATGAAATCATTGCACGATTTATACCTGTCTGCATGCACCGACCATAAAGGTCAGTGACTGTATTCTCTCTCGAATGCTGAAATGTTTATTTCCTTGACGAATGTCTATCAAAATAGCATTATAAACAAGTTCTTTCTAACAAAATACAAATTACAATATCCGTACTGTACTGCTGATGTGTAGTTAAAGCATACTACAGGAGCAAAAATCAGCATATGCACAGATAAATGTAAATATGCACACGTATACTAATCTTATCATTATAGCAACCGATGACTGCTACAACAGTTGGTTATCAAAAACTAAAATTAAAAGATGGCGATTGACTTATAAAGCAATTAGTAGAGCATGCATCGTACACTAATGGAATAGTATTATACTTAGTTTAGATTCAGTGCATTCAAAAATTTTTTCAAGCATTAAATCTAACCTTCATATAATAATTTTCCTATTGTGTATTATGTGAAGCTCTACTAATTGCTTAATATATTATTGTATTTTATATTATTGTACAACTAAATATATTTTCATACTCACATTTTGTAGGATCAAGTTTTGTAAAGACTACAGTGTTAAAAGACGCTGACACTAATAATAATATTAAGTGATCCAGATGATTTTTTTTACTAATGATAAAATATATTATAGTATTGTAATATAATAAAATATATTATTGTATTTTATATAATTGTACAACTAAATATATTTTCCTACTCATTTTTTTGTAGGATCAAGCTTCGTAAAGACTACGGTGTTAAAAGACGGACATGTCTTCGGAATTCATCTACTTGATCCTAAGGCAATGAAAGTGGAAGACGAATCCTTGAAGGAGAATGAGCTCAACTTTAATGAGAAGGCCGAGAGTGAGCAGCCCGAGAAAACTGATGCAGAAAAAGGTAAAGGATCTTTGTTGTTGCTTTTAAAGCTCTGTTGTCTAGATTATCAAATTTTCTTTCACAGAAAACTGTTGTATGCCCATATATAGTCATGATGCGCCTGTATGTGGTTATTAATTATGTGATGTCATCATGACCATATTTAGGCATGTCACATGTTTTTGTAAAATAAAATTTAATAGTAGACAGAGCTTCAAAGTTGTAGTCATACAGAAATTTCATCATGTTTTCTGTGGTGGTAGTTTCACAGAAAATTGTATGATGGGGATGATTTTGATAATATTAGGGAGTTTTTTTTTTGTGCATGCGAACGCATTCGGTTATTTTGACGTTTTCCATCATCATTTATGACGTCATACTGCAGTTGTTATCAATGTCAATGCGAAAAGCACAGCATGGCTATAGACCGTTACGGATGCATACACATATTCATTCGCGTGCAAAACCTCTCTGACAATAATTATGATAACTCATTATAATGAAGATGATGACAATGATGATAAAGTGGTTATGATGATAATGATTAGAGTGATGATGCTGATGTTGCTTTGCTGATTATAATAATGACAGTAATGATGATGATGTTCGTAATGATAGTGTAGATAATGTGGATGCTGTTGATGCTAATGATACGGTGAATGATTTTATTTTTCTAAGTGTTGTCTGTTTTACGTTTTTTGTTGTGCTTTTGTTGTTAATTGTTTTGACAATATAGTTGTGATGCTCGTGATTTGTGTCTAATGTTGTAGTACTTGCTGCCTGAGTTTTTCCCTGAACAATGAGACTTGGTGTGCGCTTTACAACTGCAAGGAAAAAGCACAATATAAATGCCCGTACCAGTGATAGTATGATGATGCTGATGATGGTTCTAGTAAATGACTCTTAGTCACAATGAAGTACAATTTTTTTTATTTACAACAGTGCAAATTAAAGATATGAAACACTAAATGATATACATTTTTCCCTTCAGAAGAGACGGAAATGAACTTGGAAGAGAAGAAAGCACTGAGTAAATTTGGAGCATTCACAGCTCACCTTAATGATGGAATGATCTTGTCATACAGTTGTTTTGGCAACAGTGGAAAACCCAAAGGCTCTGGTAATTGTTCCTTAAATGTTGCATAAATAAGTAAAACTATTAAAGGTAACATTCCCCTCCCCCATTGCTTGGAGAGCCACTCAGACAGTAATTTATTTTACTTTTTGGTAATCCTGCCGGCTCTTGGGGGAAACATGGATTACCTTTTCGAATTTTCTGAATATTTTACTGTATTGTTAAGATAAAAAAAAAAAAAGGCGAAATAAATGAAATGAAATGAACATTACAGTAGTAATAATAATCATTGTATTAGTACAAAAATATTTTGTTGAAATAAATTTTTCAAACTTGATTGAGATTGATTTATGCAAACAATTATGCTGGGTTTTAGATAAATATATTGTGCTAATCCAGAAAGTAGATAGTAATTACTGCCTTGGTGTTAAAAATTTGTAAAGAATGTACTAGGAATACAAGTTATCTCATTTCATTTAAATAACCTGTATGATTATTGATGATGATATTGTGAGAATGAGGATGATGATGACAAATATTTATGATAGAAGGCGATGATGATAAAGATACTGATCATTAATGATGATGATAATAATGATGATGATGTTCAAATGCTTTTCTTATTAACAGAAGAGGAAGAAGAAGTAGAAATATTCATTCCCCCACCTCCAAGCCCTTCACCTCCTCCCCAGTCGCCTTCACCGAAAGGACGAGCGGGATCTGGCAAGAAAGGAAAGAAACAGCAACAGCAGCAGCAACAACAGGAACAAGAAAAACTTGCGCAGCAACAACTGATAGAGCAGCAGCAGAAAGAGGTTTGGAATTATTTGTGTAAAAAAAAGAAAAAGAGGGAAATAGATAGTGACCCCATCTGGATTTGAACCCAGAACCTCCATGGTTTACATTTGTCATTGTCAACTAATATACAGGACACCTACCATCCTCACCCTTTGGAGATGATGATAATGAGAATGAGGAGGAGAGATGATGGGATTAGTTTTAATAGACTAAATTTACTTTTGGACTAAATCTTGTTGTAATCTTTAAATAAACTAAACAAGTAAGAGACTAAGTTACTGAGTGTCAGTCAGTAATCTACAGTCACCATACATCTCTAGTGTGACAAAACATACATACAGTACCCTAATTATACTTTAAATAATGTTATATACTTTAATACCTTTTCAGGAGGAAGAAAGAAAAAGTAAAGCAATGGAGGAGCAAGCCAAGACACCAGACCTGAAGCTGCCTGAGTTTCAGCAGCTGCATATCTCATGTCCAGATGGCCTATCTGTCAACTACTGCCTAGAATCGGGTAAGAATACCTGAATGTGAAAGAGTACCTGAGTACAATTATCGATAAGCACAGTTCTAAGCAATGTCTTATCAAGGAGGTATCTTATAGTGTACACACACTACAGCAATTTTATGCCAAGACTTTTAACTATGGCTGTGCCAATCACCACTGTTGATTCTATAGTCTGAATCACTTGTAAATTAAATGCCTACTTTCGCAAATGCATGCATTACGGCGGTTTGAGTACTGGCTAAGGCTATGTTCACACACACGGCGTAAGACTGGCGTGGCTTACGCCAGGCGTAAGCTAATCCACGGATTAAAATTCCAAAGTGTTCACACAAACGGCGTTCATTAAACTAACAGTAATATAGGCCTATGTGGAATAGTTTTCAGTTTTAAATAATGTACGTGTTAACAGTAGTAAAATTAACAGTGCATCATGAAAACTTTTAAATCTGTGTTGTTCGAAGTGAACTTACATGATTATTGTATTTTAAATGAATAATTCTACTTTTGATTTTTCAGCTAGCATTGTTGATGTTGCATGTTTTAATAGACAGTCTAAATGGTTAAAATATCTTACAAAACACAATCAATAAATCATACATTATAACTAAGTAAAATGCAATAGAAAAGGAACCCCTTTACCATTTCATTTATAGAGAGCACAGAAAAGAGACCAAAGTAGCTAATATATTGCAATCGTGATTGGTCAATCTCTTGAAATGAGCCTGTCTCTTATACACATCTACCTTTATTGCAACTACTTCTTTCTTTCCTCAGAAGTGACACCTGAGACTATTGATGTGCCAGTCAGACTGTTAGTTAAACAAGCATACCCTGTGAAGACAGCCCAGAAGCAAGACTGTGAGGCTGCACGCAAAATCCCTGCTATGATGGAGGAATCACGCATTGTCACCAGCAATGGTGCTGTTATCAAATTCATGATTGATGGTACAACACAGGTAGGATTTCATAATAAGCAGATCTTTGGTAATTTTTAATGTTGAGCTCTCTGCCTTTGTGATTGGCTTTGATGGTTTATAGTGCATCTTTCTATCCTCCAATTAGGAAGTGTACTTACTGTTGGATGTGGAAGATATAAAAAATTCTTAAGCATTAATATAATAATAGAAATTATGTGTTTTCATGTGTACAGATAACACAATATGCTAAAATATTAATATTAATATTTCTTCAGGTGCTTTTTCCTGATGGGACAGTAAGCGGAGGTACTGGCCCAGGACCAGTAGCCCCAGCTAAACCTCCCACTAGTCCACCAACAAGTAGAGAGGCATCACCATCTAGATTTAGCAGTGCCTTGAGTAGTGATCTTCAGCATAAGAAAAGTAAGTTTTAATGTGTAATATTTTTTTTATTTCTTTTTGTGAGTGAGTGAGCAAAGTAATAATGTTTACAAATTCAAAGCGGTCTTTAATTGGAGGTGGTCTTTAATTAGAGGGAGACTGTTTCAGCCGTGTTCGCATCATGTGTATATACCACCAATCAGAATGCCTATATTTTCACAAACTTCTCATTCTTTGCTGCATAATTTTGTGTGGCAGCCTTAAGACTGCCAGTTGTATTAGTTAGAAATCTAACTAGTCTAAATATTAGTAATGTAACGTAGTTAGGTTTATATAGCGCTTTACACCGAAACGGTCTCAAAGTGCTTGATGTCTGGACTGGCTGTTACTGTAACTTGCTTCTCCCCTAAGGGTCTCTTTGTGTCTGAGCTACTCATAGTAAACTGCTACCAGCTACTCTCGTCTGTCCACAGCAGTGGTTGAAAGGACTAGTACACTGTGGTAGCCCCCCCTACTCGTCTCGAAAGATGTACTGGGTTTTTAAAGTACACATCAGACAAATTATGTACACTGGGCCTACGGTTTATAATCATTATCCAAGAAGACTTGTTCCACCACCAGAATCAGTGCCAATATTATAGCTGTATGTTGCAGCACCCCTGCCTTAACAGTTTAGCCATCCAACTCGTACTGTGTATTTGAAATCTTGTATAATTAATGTATTTCTAATTGCCAACATACAGGCAGTGTGAAAGCAACGGCAGCTAAAGGCATGTCACAAATAACTGAAGAATTGAAGAATTATAATCATTATCCAAGAAGACTTGTTCCACCACCAGAACCAGTGCCAATATTATAGCTGTATGTTGCAGCATTCCTGCCTTAACAGTTTAGCCATCCAACTCGTACTGTGTATTTGAAATCTTGTATAATTAATGTATTTCTAATTGCCAACATACAGGCAGTGTGAAAGCAACGGCAGCTAAAGGCATGTCACAAATAACTGAAGAATTGAAGAATTATAATCACTGTCTCTTATACACATCTAGATGTGTATAAGAGACAGAGCATACCCTGTGAAGACAGCCCAGAAGCAAGACTGTGAGGCTGCACGCAAAATCCCTGCTATGATGGAGGAATCACGCATTGTCACCAGCAATGGTGCTGTTATCAAATTCATGATTGATGGTACAACACAGGTAGGATTTCATAATAAGCAGATCTTTGGTAATTTTTAATGTTGAGCTCTCTGCCTTTGT